GATCCCATTTTCAGTACAGCAGTAACAAAACCTTGTTTATGATTAGACAGCATGGAGGAAATTATGGAAAAACACACAGCAGGGTATGGCTGTGTATATATCACAGTTACCCGACTAGGAAAAGGGGTGGGGTAACATGGGGAAGAGGTAGGGGCAGCAAGTAATAGAGAAAAATTAAACAGGATAACACTTAACAGCATATAAGAAATGGTCATATTTATGCATTTATATGAAACTGTATATATATATACACACATATAAACATATACACATATAAAATGGTCAAAAAATGCACACACACAAAAAGTCTTGACTCATATCCACCGAGTTAACTGAGTGCTGAGGGCAGCCTGTCATCTGGGGGCAGCTGGGGTGAGCCAGCAAGGAGCCTGGAGTCCTGTACGTGTGCCTGGCTGTCCCGCAAGAACCAAGGACGCCGTGGGTGAGGCATCACTGGGAGGGCATCTGGGCTGTGTGCAGCAAGCTGGTGAAAAAGAAATAGGTGTCCAGGGGCTCACCTGCATTCTGGGTGAAGTGCATGGACAGGGGAGCGGGAGGGTATTCACCCTCAGGGGAGGACTGAGATTTGAGAATTCATGGGAACAGCAGATGAGAAGCCGCTGTGGGTAAGGGCTGGGGTGGGGAGAAAGTGGAGGCTGTGAATGCAAGGACAGTGCTGGATGCAAATGTTAGAGACCAAAGGCAGGTGGGCACAGAGGAGTCCCACAGGCCGGCCTCACGAGCAGGATATGGCTAGAAGTCTCTCATGTCATGGGAGAAGAGAAAACAAGAGAAAACTGGAAATTAAAGAATGATACCAACAAGAGGAAAGTTCTTATCAACCAACACTTTTAATTGCAAAAAGTAGAAACCTTCATTACATGAAACTTTAATTTACATACATTCTTCACACGGTGGACGTCTTTACCAGTTTGCAGTATCCTGCACTAGAACACATAGTAAAAGCTCAAGCCATTCGGAGCCCCTGTGGCTGGGACAGCTGCCTGCTTCCCTCTGCTCCCTGGGACCATCCAGGCCCACCATACCCTGCTCCCTGAAGGAGCTGCAGCTGACCCTGGCACCTGCCCCTGATGATGGTGCGGAGCACTGTGCTGAGTCCCTAGCTTGCCTGTGCCTCCTCCGTCCCTGGCCCTCAGCATTGGTTACTGACCCCCAACCTAGGGTGGGGGTGAAGGAAGGGAAGACTGCAGACAGCATTTTTCTGAGGGTAAAACTGTGGAAACAAGTATGGAGGGAAGGCTGTCTGTGATAAGATGGGGCTCTCTGGGAATGCCATGTGTCTGCTGGCTCCTGTCACCTTCCTGGAAGGGTCCACAGTGCTGAGGGGTTGCAGTGTGAAGAATGGAATGCTACTGTGAGTAACGGTGGCTGCACAGGTGACCACCCTGCCCCAGGGAGCTGCTGTGGGGAGTGATGGTGTCAATGAAGCCCGGCACAGAGATGTCCCAACTCCCCAGTTTCTGTCTGAAACTCATAACTCAGCTGGGTTCCCTTCTCCACACGGTGCTTGCCGCCGTGGCTCATTCTTGGACTGATGGCTGCTGCCTGCCTGACAGACACACTAGGTAGAGGCGGAAGGGTCTCTGGTCCAGCTCTATCAAGTCCTGACAGTTCCAGGCCTCCACTTAGTTACGCAACATTCCTTCCCTCCACTAGTCTGAAAAAGTCTGGACATTTCATGGTCTCCAGGGAGAGGAAAATGACAGATGTATTTAGCACTAATGCTCAAATTATGCAGGGCAGGGAAACCAGAGATACTGAGGGACCTGGACAACAGACAAGCTGGCTAGACGGTTGCTCTTCAAGGCCAGCATTTAGTCATACTGTGTCCACGGTGGGTGGACTTGGATGTGGTGCACGAGAGAGACAGCACCTGTCTGTCTCCCTGACATGCTTCTGGAAGAGGCCGCTCGGGATGTGGAGACTGGGGGTGGAGAGGACAGGGAAATGCCTGCTGCTGGTGACACAAGCACATTCCCGGAGGCTCCCGTGTTTCATTCGCTACAGGGCCGTCTCCATAAGCGCCTTCACCCTCCTAGCTTCCTGACCCTGACACGCGTCGGTTCTGTATACAACATCTGTAGGTCCAAACATGGAGAGAATTTCTGCCTAAAGTACAATTTTAAAGCACATCTCTGACACTCCCTTCCTTCAACGAATTCTAGTGGGTGATGGCTCACCACTGAAAGGTAATGAGTGTGGGACTTGTATACTCAAGAGAGCTTTTCCTTCATTGTTAGGAGAGCTCAAAATCCTAAGAGGTCCTTCTGTTTAATAACTGATTCTTGAAAGGTAGACAAAATTGCCTCTCTCTGTGCAAACAGACATGCACCTTTCCCTCTCTTTCTCCTATAACCCGGCTTTCTCCTTTATGGACAAGGAGATGCAAATATTTGCTTTGGGGTTTGAACATTCACTGTGAAAGTGATTGGGTAATGAGCAAACTCATTCCAGGCTGTATTAAAATGACTGAGGCCATCACCTGCAGCTAAGAAACGTGAGTTTTTGTTTTAACATAAGTGTACACTGAGGCCTATGCTGGGTTTTGGTAGACGGGAACAGAAAATCAAGAATTGAAAAACAAGTGATGTAAACTCCAAGGGGACCCACAACTGGAATGGGGCAGAATCCCTCCCCTGTCACACATCTGGAAGAATGTGGAGACAGGAAAATGGCTGGACACAGTGTGTTTCAGCTACATTTACTCTTAAAAAGAGTTTTCAAATGGGGAGGGGAAAAGTGAAAGGATTTTTATAAAAGTCATATGGTTAGATTCTTTCCTCCTCCACTTCTGCCCAGCAGAGTTTTAAAAACAAACCCTGCAGAGTTCCTGGCTTGCTGTTCCCCATCCCTGGGTTCTCCCACTCCAACGGGGACACATGTGAGTCAACGACATCCACAGCTCTCTTCCTGGGCACCATGCTGTGATGCAGCAGGAAAATGATGAGCTGTGGAACCAGCTACCCACCTGCCAGCAGTTGACTGCTCTCAGCCTCCACTTATTTCCTTGTAAACTGAGGATCTAACACCTACTTTACAGGATTGGGTGAAGATTAAAGGAGATCATGTGTATCAGGCACTTTGTATACTGGAATGTACTAGACAAGTGTTATTACTCCTTTCTCAGAAAGCGAGCCCCCCAATCTTCCCATTTCATAGACTGTTTTGTATTTCACTGAATAGTGGATTTCTGTTTTCATAAACCACTATTATTATTTTTTGAAACAGGGTCTCACCCAGGCTGGAGTGCAGTGGTACAATCACAGCTCACTACAGCCTCCACCTCCCAGTGGGGTAAGTGATCCTCCCACCTCAGCCTCCTGAGTAACTAGAACCACAGGAGTGTGACACCACACCTGGCTAATTAAAAAAAATTTTTTTGTAGAGATGGGGTTTCGCTATGTTACCCAGGCTGGTCTTCAACTCCTGAGCTCAAGCAATCTGCCTGCCTCAGTCTCCCAAAGTGTTGGTGTTATGGGTGTGAGCCACCACACCTGGCACAACTACTTTTTTTTTTTTTTTTTTTTTGAGACAAGAGTTTCGCTCTGTCACCCAGGCTGGAGTATAGTGGCATGATCTTGGCTCACTGCAAGCTCCACCTCCCGGGTTCAAGCAATTTTCCTGCCTCAGCTTCCCGAGTAGCTGGGATTACAGCCGCCACCATCATGCCCGGGTAATTTTTGTATTTTTAATAGAGATAGGTTTCACCCTGTTGGCTAGGCTGGTCTTGAACTCCTGACCTCAAGTGATCTGCCTGCCTCAGCCTCCTAAAGTGCTGGGCTCACAGGTGTGAGCCACCGTGCCCAGCTTGAATCACTTTTATTTTATTCCCTCTCTTCCCTAAAAAAACTGGAGGACAAGCTCTGCCTCCTTTCATCAACCATAGTAAGTATGGTATCCATTCACTACTTGACTGCTGGAGAGCTCAGGACATTTGGACAGAAATGCTTCAAACTGGGACCACAGTAGCCTGTCTCCTCAGAGAGCTGACTTCTGGGCACAGGCGTCTCTATGGCGGGAGGCTACAAGAAAGTGAACCTAACTCATGCACAGAGGTCATCGCCATGTCACCTCCTAGTAAATGCTCAATAAACTTATAAACCACCCCCTCTCTTTAGAGCCCTACAGTTTTGTTCTTATTGTGGTGGTGGAGGTGGGGAATTGGTGAGGTGGTCCTGTCGTCACCCTGCAAGCTTGCTTTCTCATCCTGACAACCCTCTTTCCCACACCAGTCATGCAGAGGGACTTCCGCTGCTTCCAGCTAGATGGCAGGGGCATCCTGTGGCATCCTGCTGCTCAGGGCCTTGATCATTAGAAAGGGACTGGCTGGCAACCCCTAGCTACTCCCGTCGCTCTAGCCACTAGTAGATTCTGTTTATCAAAATTAACTTGAGAAGCTGAACTGCCTCTGTCTATCTAGAAAACCCTCTTTGGAGAATTCTCTCCTAATACAAGTTTACATTCAAGTCTGAACTGGGTAGATTGTAAGTAAAATGAGTAGCGTATGCATGAAAGTCTCTACTTTTCTTCAGCTACAGTCATTTTTTTGTTGAAGTACAAAATGGGGCTTAGGAGACTTTCCCAGGGGATGCCTCAGAATATCAACACATGCAAGGGTTTCTTCGTTTTCAAAGTTTTGAGCTGAAGTGGGTATTTTATGGACATTTAAGATGTGAAGGGCAGGAGTGAAATGCGGAAAGGAACACAGAGTAACTCACAGAAACAAAACAGAGATCTCAATAATCAAAATAGTTGCTTTGTTCCTAAGAAACCCTCTTTTTTGTTAACGGGTCTAATTTTTAAAAACTCTCAGAGGCCTCTAAAGCACTTGTTTACATACAGCCCTTCCCCATGTGCGGCCAGGGTAAGGACACTGCAGAAGGCTGTAAAAGCTTACGCAAAGCCGGCCTCTACATGATCCCTCTGACTTAAAACCTCTTAAATCATAGCTGCTTCACAGCATGACTTTTATATGTACACAAGTTTTGTTTTTCCTGTATTCATCCACACAAGGGGTTGATTAAGAAAAAATTCCCTCAGGTACAGTTCATCCTAGTTTCACTGAAGCCCGCGGAGGAGGCTCTGATGTTTCCACCCTGAGCTCTGTGAACTCTGCTTGTCCTCTGTAAGCCCGCAGACAAACAGGTCATTCAAGTGCTCAGTGCTCCCCACTGCTGGGCATGAGACCCACAGAGAAAGAGGGCCTGGAGATGAGATGCAGGCTCCTCCAGGAATGAAGAGGGCTTCACAACCATCTTCACTCATCACTGTCTGCCTCTGATCCATAATTCTGACATCGACACGTAATGGATCCATTTGATTTCTGCATTTCAGAACCAGAGGCCAAAGTGTAGATTGCTTTTTCTTCATCCTGGCATTGGCATGACCAATGGCCAGGTATCTAGCGGTGTCCATAAAAGAATAATAGAGAAAAAAAAAAAAGGAACAGGAAAAGAACATCCTTATTTACACCATTTGATTGCTATATACCGAAAGCACTTGGGAGAAAACAATGCACATAGTGAATCATCCAATCAGAAACACACAGCTTTATATTATTACAAAAAAGAAAAATACCTCACCTTGTTTTTGTTTCCCAGCACAGACAGAAATCATTTTAAGACAGAGGATCACACAGTCATTTGTACACCCAGCTGACAAACACTTTGGGTCTGGATTTCCTCCCCCAACCACATTACAACATCAGCTTTGACACATCTGTAAAACATCTTCTCTGCAGAAAGTCAGACCCTAAAGATCAAACCCAGGGAGGCACCCTCTCCCCCGGCCAGCTACTCTAACTCATAACCCTCTGAAGACACTTGGTAAAGGCAACACAGCTGACAAGAGCAGTGCTGCCTCAGCAGTAGTGGGCTCTGGCCCTGCCAAGGCAGGGAGGACTAGAGCCAAGCTTCCAAGAAGCCATTCAGACAGGCAAGGGAGAAGGGGAGGGAGTGCAGTGGGGATATAAGAACCTGATGAAATGGAAGAAAGCATTACCTTGGGAGTTACCACTTTGAATTATTGTATGATCAGACTCTAGCCTGGCATTATAGAGACTCCAAGTGCCACGGACAATGGGAAAGAAGTGTACTTCTTGAATGCAATTCAAAGTTATCTGACCTTTTTTCACTGCTTCTAGATTCCATTTCGTTTGGGAAACTACAAGAACTTCTTTAATCAGCCATGGCTTTCCAAAAAGTAGAGTGATGTGGCCAGGAAGATGGGGACAAGCAGGCCCACCTGGTAAAGGATGGCTCTGACATCAGAACCTGTTGGCTGCCCTCTCCACTGCCAGGGAAGGAAGCTGGCAATATAGGCGAAGGCAGGCACCAGCCCTGTTTCCTGCCTAAGGGGCAGCATCAAGGTCTTAGTGCCCAAAGGCCCAGAAGAGGTCAGTCTCAGATGGGTGCTGGCAGAGTCCTAGCCAAGTGGCCAGGCTGAATCCTTCCTGAGCCATCTGCAGGAAGAGTCAGGAGGGCTAGGCCCTGGCCACTGCCTTGCAGCTCACAGCTGGTTCACACATGCATGCAAAGGGCAGGTAACTAAGTAACCAACCCCTGGAAAGCAGTTTCATAGTTTTTTATTTTTCCCCTTTCAACCTGGTTTTCGGCTCTGGAAGCTGTTCCTGTGCACAGTTCTATTTCCTACAGTTCTGAGAAAGTGGTTCCATCGCAGATGACCAAAGGCTGGACCCCTCTGGCTATAATGTAGACCTTCCAGTGAGTGGTGCTGGCATAGCCTTGAGGGGAAATAGCAAGAGGAAAACATGTAAATGTTAGCGGGTGGACACACCTGTGGGCAGAGCAAGGCGGGTCTGCCAGAGCTGGCCCTCAGGGTGCACTGCAGAGTCAAAGACAAATCTTTTTCTATTTAATTTAGTTTCTTTTTTTCTTTTTCTTTTCTTTTCTTTTTTTTTTTTTTTAAGAGATGGGGTCTCACTATATTACCCAGGCTGGTCTTGAACTCCTGGGCTCAAGTGATCCTCCTGCCTCTCACTCCCAGAGTGCTGGGATTACAGGTGTGGGCCACCACTCCTGGCTTAAAGACAAATTGCTCTGAAAGTCTTTTGGCACTTCCTAGTTATTATCAGTCCTCTTTAAATGTTTTATCACCGCCCCTCACCCAGGGAACTATGAATCACAATTCAGCAGGCTTACAAAGGCAGGATGCTCTACATGAGGCTGGTGTTGGGCATCAAGTCTCAGCTTTTACAGCAAGAAGACAGAATGGATTCTGAGGGGACATAAGACCTACTAGCCAATTTTCCTGTGTCTTTCTATAATGCGGTTTCATTACACAACATCCAGATTAACCTAAACCTAAACCAGCATTGCCCAAATTGGGTTCAGCAAACAGTGGAGTCCTGTAAGATATTCCAAAGAAAACAGGTTCTAGAGTACTATGGGCCCTGCTCATCTTTAAACGAAGAGCACTGAGTAGAATTCAACTTTTACTTGGCGACTCCGGAAGGGTCATGATGAGCAATGACTGTCCTGTACAGTGACTGCAGATATTGTACCTGACCCCCAAAAGGTTTTCTGGTGATCTGGAACCCTTCTTTCCTCCATCTCCACAGAACAATGTATGTTTTATCAAAAATCATAGAAATTGCATGTTGTGGTGCCATTCTTAAGGGTCCCTAAGGTAGAGGAACCACTGTCTGTCCTGCAACACTAAATGATTCTTCTTGGCCAGGGTCTGCTTTCCTGTCCTTACTGTTAACCGTGGCAGCTACAGTCATCACGTCCATTTCTGTCACTGCTTCAGGTGCTCGCTGGCTTCCCCACCCCTCCCTGCCCCCATTCTTCTCCCGGGCTTGCTCTCCTATTCTTCTTCTCTTCAGTCGCCATCCCTCTCTGTGTTCTGTCATGTGACTGGCCTTTTATAGACACTGCCAACTACAGGGATCCTTTCTTTCTAGTCAACAAACCAGTCAGGCACAGCACAGCAGGTATCACGCACTGGATGTTAGGCTAATCTGGACTATCTGCACCAGCATTTGATGCTCAAGCTTTCTTGATTACTGCCAGACATTTCTTTTTTTTTCCCCCTAATTCTGTAATTGGTATTCCGGTTGCTTGTGGGAGCCGGAAGTCTGAATTCAGATAACTAAGGTGTTTCTGTAGTTGTCTGAATTGTTAGGCATTTGTAAAATATAAGACAGAAACTTGATCAAGCACAACCACATGCTCCAAACCTAAATATGCCAGAGAGATTTTCGTAATAGTCATCTCTTGTGTTAAGAGTCACTCCATTACAGGAAAAAGGTTCAGAACAATTTCCATACAAGAATCCTCCTTTTTGTAGGAAGTTTCCCAAGAGCCAGGCCAGCTGTGCTCCATTATTAGTTAATGCTTGATTTGCACATTATTTTTATTTTTCATTTCTAAATTGAAATAAAAGTTATGTAATTTAAATTAAAACTTGGCATAGCTTGCAGTCCAATTCCTACCCTCATATAAGATGCAAGGTTTCTAGGGATTTGGGGGTCTTCTGAATGGGTAAAATTAAAGAAATCAATTGGAAAACCCAGTCTGGGCTCTGCCAGAGACTCCAGGTCTTGCCTAGGTTTTGTGAGGCAGGAAAAGCAAGGAGGTCAATGGTGACACTTGCTGATTTATTTGTTTCTTCCAAGAAAACTCGGCTGTCAAACTGATTGCTACTGACAGCAGTGGATTCAAACCTGTTTCTTTGGAACAGATTTTTAGGATATAAGGCACAGGACAAGTCACATTTGGGAAAACACTGAGCCAGGGCCAAGGGTGAGTCATCAATGTGAGGCTGTGACTTGGCTGTGGCAGCCACACAGAAGGTAATATTTCCTTGTGTGACCATTGCCCTTATATACTGCTTGGTATTGGTTTATTTGCAACATGGGTGTATATTCCTGTAGTCCTGGATTGTCCCTCTCCTGGCTTGACTGTGTCCAAGCAGGCACTTAAGACCTGATGCTCTGCTCAACAGATAGTGGGGCCTTGGGGTGGTCACCTCTCCTCTCTGGGTCTCAACCTTTTCATCTATAAAACGAGGGATTGGTCTAAATACTTTCCAGAATCCTTCCTAACTTGAAGTTTCTATGGTCAACAGACACATGCATTCTATATGTTGTACGTACAAGACATTTCTTTCTGCTATGTTTTCTCATTAAGTTGTTTCATTTCTAAGCATAAATGTTGAGCCTGTTAATAGGAGAATGTTATTTTTGATTCTACTAAATAAAACTTCTGTGAAGGCAGTACACGATTCTTAAAATAGCTTTTGAATTAAAAACTAAAAAGATTCATGGCTGACCCTGCCCTCCTGGGGCCCTACATACCGATATCTCCCGGCTCTACTGGCATGGCCACAGACTGACAATGTTTTCGGCACTGGAAGGGAGGGATAAGCTGCAACATGGCCTCGCCGCTGCCCATGATAAATAGGTCACGCATCTCATGCATCTGGAGGAAAGAACGAGGAGGGGAGGAAAAGGAAGGCAAAGAAAACAAAATAAAACCAGGGGCTTTAGTAAATAAAAATGCTTTCACATATGGCTCTGAGTTTTCTAGCCTGAGCAAAGAGGAAATAGAACCAATAACAAAAATTTGCAATTATGTCCAAAAGACAAAAACAAACTACTTCTCCTAAGAATGGCATCTCTTGGCACTAAGACCAGAGTACAATCTCTTCCATGGGTCTCCTAAAGAGGCACTGTGTGATTTAGTGGGCAATCCCCTCAGCGAGAGCCCCAGAGCAGATCCTGCATGAGCTTCATAATTTGCAACTAGTTTTAGCCACAGCTTCAAAGTAAGCCAAAGGAAAATACCTAATTGCAATTTAACCAAGGTAGTTCTAGCAGAAACCAACAAATGGTGGCTGAAGTATACAACATTCAGAGATTCTGGGTTTGATGAAAACTTTTTAGATAAATAGATAATCGGGACATCCGTTCGGCACTCTTCCATGGAATGTTACTTCTTACTACCAGGGCTCTGATAAGTATTGCACAGCAGGAAGTTTAAGTTTATATTGCCTGGCAAGACCCAGGGGAGCAGGCAGGCCATGCTACTGATTAAAAACTAATGACACTAAGACTGGCCTCTGATTCTGAAAACTAAGGAGACAACCAGCATATGCACCTGCACAGGTAACTACTGCCCCTCTGAGGGCATGCTACTGCCGGCAACGGGCATTAAATGCAACCTGCTATGTGCCAGGGAAGGAGCTGTGAACCCTGGGGATGGGGCTGGGACCAGGGCAGGGAATAGGGATAAAGAGACGGGTCTTGCTGGGACATTTCTCCTTACCTTGATGATGACAGAAAACCCCTAGGGTCTCTTCTCTCATCTCTTCCTCCTATCTCCTGCCCTTCAGAGAAACCCTTTATACGCCCATATAAAGTGGGAGCCAGAGGTCTGACTCCCTGGGCCATGTCTTGGTTTTTCTCTTCACCATTCACGGCCTCCAGAGTCTTGGATTTTGGCCCCGTCTTCCCCTGTCCCCAGCCCTGGTCTCTCTGCTGCTGCCACAGGCCTTGCCCATAATGTTTTCATGGCAACACTAGAACCATTTCACCTGCTAATGTGGTGACAGGGACAAGCCTGGTCTTCCGCCAGCCTGCAGTTGACTGGCACTCACACTGGCGGAAGCCTTACCATCTGTAGTCCTCACAACAATCTCAGAAGGACCAAAACAAGTGGCTGTATCCTTCTTCACACAGGCCTGAAGCGGGTAGGGTCATAGTCATCCATTCTCAGGATGGGAAGAAACAGACAACAGGGCGGCACAGGCCAGCCCTAGGCCACACTGTGGAGTGGGTGAAGTGGGCCTTGGAGCCCCTCACCATCTCCCCGAGTGCCACTTAACAACCAGCTTCCCACTTCTGTCTTAAGGCTGCCTTTGGATACTGGGCCCACAGACACATGACTTTAACAGGGCCCAGGGATGTGGACAACAGGGTGGGGTTACAAGGCTGCAGGGAAAGGAGAGCTTGGGCCAGGGTGGGGAAACAGATTCTCTAAGAAATCAGGCTCTCAGGAGTTTTGCCTGTTTGGTCACTGCCCTTCCCAAAACATCCTCGAGAACCACAGTATGACTTTGGTAAGCATTTGAGTAACTCTGTATTTACTCCTTTGGCTGGGCTCCTTGGTGTTGCGCAGGCTGGAGAAATTAACTCTGGTATTCAAGTGGTAAAACCAAGAGAAAGATAAAGGCCGTGTCCCAGAATTATATTTATGAAGATGAAATCATACAAGGGCCTGGAATTCTAGCCGGCGACAGCAGGATAAACTTCTTTAAAATCTGAGGCAAGAGCCCAGCATCTCCACCCCAGTGCTGGCAGACAGAACTTCTTACTTCTAGACAAAATGATTGTTTTTATAGACTTTTAAATTCCTTTACCACAATTCAGCAAATTTGGAGCCAAGCAATAGTATGAGGAGGTGGAAGCCACGGTCCAGAGTTGGTAGGGGGCCACAGTTTGGGAAATTTTTTTTTTTTTTTTTTACCAAGGAAAATGCATGCTTTTAATTCTCCCAAACCAATCCAGGCTCAAAAACCTTCCTTAGGAATGAGACTTAACAAAAGGAGCAATTCAGAGAAAAGTAAACAGACACAAATGCAGAACAGCTTCTCCCAGTCCACTGGCCCCAGAGAGGCAACTTTGGCTCTGAGCACTTGGTCCCAGACTGAAGTGGGAAATGATGGGAGCAGAGTGGGCTTTTCCACCCCAGCTGGGCTGCCTGCCTATCAAATCTTTCCCAGGCTCCCACACTTTTTGCCTTTCAAGTTCTCTACCTGAAATCTCTTAATTGTTTATTTCTGGCAAAAACCACCCTGGGGGTTAGAGGGTAAAGGGTGTGTCCTTGGGCAACTCACTTAATCTCTCTGGGGCTCAGTTTCCTTATCTACAAAATGAAGAAGTTATTCTATTCTTCAAAATGAAGAAGTAAAGCTATTCCTTTATAGCTTTCTTTTCTTTTAAAAAAAAATAGGGACAGGGTCTTGCTATATTGCCCAGGCTGGTCTGAAACTCCTAGGCTCAAGCAATCCTCTTGCCTCAGCCCCGCCAAGTGCTGGATTACAGGCGTGAGCAACCACCATTCATGGCTGCTTGCCGACTTTCTAATTTAAGGTAGGAATTTAAGGTAGGAAAGCCAGATTAATTGTACACTGAAGTCCTTCAAATTTTAAGAATTTACTTCTTTTAATATAGAAAAGTAGCTTGCCTTAGGTGTTAAGCGCAGGAGGCAGATTTGCAAGGTAACTAGACTTTCTGGAAACCTGCCTTCATGACAAGGTGTGCCCCTGCAAGTCTCCTGGCTAGCAGCAGGAGGGGAGAACTAGACTGTGTGGGCGTCCCCTCAATTCACCCTCTAAGCCAATATGCAGGGAAGGCCTTGGTTATGACATCAGTCCAGATCCCAAGTAAAGAAAATTCTAGATCCAAGTCCTCTCAAAATTTCCTACCTTACTCCCCACAACAGGTTCCGGGTGACGAAGGAAGCACTTGTTTAAAGAGGCATCTTTTGGAAATGGCAGGTGAGTGAAAACAGGAAAAAGCTCACGTAACATTTGTGATCTGTTCAGAGGTCTTGTCCTATAGAAGTTTGAAATAGAAAAAAAGTAATTAAACTGGTCAAGCCAGTCCATGACTAAGAGAGAGCCAAGTAAGGGTGGGAAAACCGTGGGCGGTGGGTAAAGAGGGAAAAATATGAGTACAGTATCTTAAGTATTAGGTCCCTGAAGAATAGTTGCACAGAGTCAATGAAGTACAACGTGGACACAAACAGGCATTAACTCTACAGCCATGATTTGAACATGTGGGTGGAGTGTTTCTAAACTGCAGCTAAAACAATATATAGAGGAAGGAAAGAAACAATCTATTCATTCTATCTTGGAGAAGACTGAAGTAACAGCAGGCCAGGAGGGGGAAGGGAAGAAGAGAGAAGGAGGAAGGGACAAAAAGCATGACCCTTCTTCTGAGGCAGAGGGAGACGCAGGGGAAGCCTGCTCAGCTTGCTCAACTGGGCACTCTAGCACGCAAACAAACAGCACATTTAAAGAAAGATAGAAGCATTAAGACATTAACAAAAAGCCTGAAAAAGCCATTTTAATTATTTTGGAACAGTTCTAAGATGGAAACTGGCTTTCTTTTCTTACTAGGCAGCAACTTTAACCACAAGGAATGAACCATGTCTTCCGCTGGGCACAGGAAGGAACAGCAGGACAAACTGGGGTTTCAATCGTGGCTGGGTAACCTTAGGCAAGTTACTTAACCTCTCTGCTTCCCATTTTTCTTTCTTTCTCCCCCTTCCTTTTTTTTTTGAGACAGGGTCTCACTTTGTCGCCTAGGCTGGAGGGCAGTGGTGTGATCATGGTTCACTGCAGCCTTAACCTCCCAGGCTCAAGCCATCCTCCCAACTCAGCCTTCCAAATAGCTTGGATATTTTTTGTAGAGATGGGGTCTCCCTATGTTGCCCAGGCTGGTCTCGAACTCCTGGGCCCAAGTAATCTACCTGCCTCAGACTCCCAAAGTGTTGGGATTATAGGCATGAGCCACCACGCCTGGCTACTGATTCCCACTTGTCTGATCTGAAAAATGACAACAATCATTCCTACTTTCCAGAGTTATTATCAGTGTCTCCAGTGAGCCACAGACACTAAGCACCAACGCACACTGCCTGGCAGAAACAAGCGCCAAAAAACGCAATTCTCCTTCTAATATTTGCACTCTCTCTTCAGCCTCCTACATGAGGCCACATTCTACATATAATGCTAAACGCATACTTACAAATAAATTATGACTCTATTAGACAAACTTGCTGTCTCCCGCTGGTGGCGCCCCTCCTTCTGACACACTTCTTCATCCATCCCCTTTCTCTCTCATCATTGGTTTATCAGTGGGATCCCAGCATTGGATTTGTAAAATGCTGGGCCTGTGGTAGTGCCTCAGTGATAGCTATTACTGTTTTGCGAGTATTTCTGGTCTGCCCCTTTTCTACTCACAAGCTAAGTGCCCCCATAGCCCACCCCCCACCCATTTTTTTCTGAGACACAGCCTCATTCTGTTACCCAAGCTGGAGTGCAACAGCGCGATCTCAGCTCACAGCAAACTCTGCCTCCCAGGTTCAAGTGATTCTTGTGCCTCAGCCTCTAGAGTAGCTAGGATTACAGGCACGCACCACCACACGTGGCTAATTTTTGTATTTTTAGTAGAGATGGGGTTTTGCCATGTTGGCCAGGCTGGTCTCCAACTCCTAGGCTCAAGTGATCTGCCTGCCTCAGCCTCCCAAAGTGCTGGGATCACAGGCGTGAGCCACCATGCCCGGCCCTTTTCACACTCACCATGGATAAGGAAATGGGAACCACCGTTCAGGAAAGCAGCGCCACCACTTGGCGAAAAACCCTTCAGTGAAGTCTTCTATCACCTCAGGGTACTGGCACAAAAAATGCTGAATCTCCTCCGACGACAGGGGCTTTCCCGTCTTGGCAAGGCAGGAAACAAAGTAAAACAAAACAACACAGAGTTATTTGTCAGAAATTTCCTAGAGCTTGACCTAGCCTTTAAGCAAGCAGCCAATCAGTGGGAGACTCAGGCTTCTGCTCACCTTGATCACCAGTGGATGGAGCCTCTCAAATTTCCTTGGGGCATCTTCCAGGAGCATCACCTTCAGGGGTTTTTGGGCACAGCCAGTGCAGTTGGCAGGAATGGGCTCTGACTCATTCTGCTCACAGTCCTTTGTCCACCAGGGGTCAAAGTCTGAGAGAGGAAGGGATATGGAGAAAGCAGATACTGAAAGAGCAGAAAGCAGATACTGAAAGAGCACAGCTGGTACATCCAGTAGCTCCAGCTACGAAACAAGAAAGGAAAGACATCAGAATGACTTTTATTTATTTATTTATTTATTTTGAGACAGAGTCTCACTCTGTCGCCCAGGCTGGAGTGCAGTGGCACTGTCCAGCTCACTGTAACCCCTGCCTCCTGGGTTCAAGAGATTTTACTGCCACAGCCTTCCGAGTAGCTGGAACTACAGATGCATGCCATCACACCTGGCTAATTTTTGTATTTTTAGTTAGAGCGGAGTCTTGCCCTGTTGCCCAGGCTGGTCTGAATTCTTGGGCTCAAGTGATCTGCCCAAACGTCGGCCTCCCAAAGTGCTGGGATTACAGGCGCAAGCCACCGCATCCAGCCCATAATAATTTTTAAAACACACAATGATAAGCCCTGGAGACCGCCGAAAAGGTAAGGTCCACATGAAGCAGCCTCTGAGGAGGGAGTAGACGAAAGGGGCAGGAAGGAGAGGTACTCTTCTCTGTATACCTTTTTACACTTTGTGGAAAATATCTTTTAACCTGTACATGCATTTCCTAAATCAAATCAACAAATAAAGCGTAACAGCTAGGAAAAACTTTCAGCAGCGTGGAGCTAAAAATGTAGTTCTCCCAACATTTTCTAACCTATGACCCATAGGGCTGAAATGTCTACAGCACAGGGGGGCTGGTGTGGATAGAAGGGTGACCCCATCATCGCTGTGCCCTAATGCACTTCTCACACATGCTGGATATGTGCCTAGACCCTTGGTTCACAAGTACACATGGGAGCCAGGACTCTGGGAAGGAAGAGTGAGAAAAGGGCATAGAAGAGGGAAGGGATGGAGAGGGTAGACAGGACTTTTCTGGAGCCATCTTTGGAATAAAGTGAATTGCATCTGTCCATAAGACAGCCCTCTATACCAGCTCAGGACAGGGTGGGACCGCCGGCCATAGTTTCCAGCCCCACATGCTGGTCAGAAATGGAAGACTCCCAACCCAGACCCTGCTGTGAGTGACAGCGGCTCCCTGACACGCCTGTCTGGTTTGGCTCCTTCTCTGAGGGGCTCTTGTTTCTGCACAGCCTTTCCCAGCTTCCCTCTGTTGCCATGCTGTTTATAATGTTATTTCATTATTTCTTGTTTACTTTCTGTTCCATTTTGGATTTCATCTGTGTTCTCTGAGAGATGTGTTTGTTTTAAATTCTGCTTTGAATCTAAAATGTTTCAGAAGATGGTTCTGATTAAAACCCAATGGAAACCAAATCAGGAGAGAGCCTACAACAAATGATAACAGACAACCAAATGTGGCTGAAACGAAGTCAAGTTTTTAAACCAATAAACATACTTGGAAACTGACTCTTAACCACAAAACATTTTCTGTGGTTGGCAGTAAGCGCTTTATCCTTGTTTTCTCTGAGGCAGTAGTAGTGGGGCATAGGAAATCCTTGTCAGGCAAGGACCGTGTTTGTTCTTGGCCGGTCTCCTGAGCATCCTCCATCTCTTGCAGATAGTATCTGTGCTTCCGGGAGGCAACTGCCACCTACCTTTCTCAGCCAGTCTCAACCTGCAGGAAGATTATTAGCCAGAGGATTACTGATACAGTCTGCTCCTGGGAGGGCACCTCTCCTCCCACAGTGCTCCGGGGGTAGCTGACAACCCTTTAGTGCCACCTGTTTCAGTGGCACACTGAGGCTGCAAAGTTGCATTTTTCTTCTCTAATATTTTCAAATGTTTCCTATTCAGGGTCAAATACAATAAATTCTTGCCAATATGCAAAAATTCTGGGTAACGGACACACCATGAGGCATAATCATAACAACATGTTACAATTATATAGCATTTCAGTTTCCAAAGTACTTGCAACGGAAGGGGAAGGAGAAAGAAAGCTAACGCACTGAGTGCTTGCCCTATGGTAATCACTTTCCCATGTTATAGCATTTAATTTTCACTGTGTAATTACTGAGTAGGAATCACTATTCTCATTCTGTGGATGAACAAACTGAAAGTCAGAGGTGATAGGAAGTTCCCGAGGTGCCAGAGTGTGGCAGGAAGAACACAGGAGATGCTGGGCGTGCAGTGGGGGTTTGGGTAAGGAAACAGGCTGCAGAGGGAGATGTGGTGAGGGCTTCCAGGGCTTGAAGCATGTCTGACTCCACTCAGAACAAAAAGAGGAACTGTTGGAGGCTTCTGAGCAGGAATTTCTCCATGTTCTAGGAAGATTATTCTGGATTGTGATTAGGGTGCCCTAGAAGAGAGAGGCTGGGAAAAGAAAGACCTGGTTATATTTTAGTTTTGCCCGTTTTTAGGGAAAAGGGGGGGGGTTCCACTGTGATGAGAAGTGAAATATAATGAATGAGGCAGTGAGAATGGAAAAAAGGGGTGGATTCTAGAAGCAGTGAGGATGAAACCTACAGCCCCAAGCAGCACTACTGTGAATGTCTGCACTACGCTGTCCTCTTGGTCAGTGTCATCATAAACCTGCAGATCTCTGCTATCGCCCATGTCTAGTGCTCATCTAGGGAACGTCATCTCCAGATTTATTATGACACTTTTCTGTAGTAGTGTGTCATATTCCAACAGAATCAGTTAATTATGACAATCTTCCCAGGAGATGAGAGTAAAGCACCAGGAGAAAGGGGCACCTTCCTCGAATTTGTACAAAGGTGCTGCATGGGCTAGCAGCGAACAGCTCTTAACCTAAGAGTTCGGATAATTATTTTAACTACAATTTATTATTTTTTTTTTTTTTGAGATAGAGTCTCGCTCTGTCACCCAGGCTGGAGTGCAGTGGCACGATCTCTGCTCACTGCAACCTCCGCCTCCTGGGGTCAAGCGATTCTCCTGCCTCAGCCTCCCAAGTAGCTGGGATTACGGGTGCCTGCCACCAAGCCCGGCTCATTTTTGTATTTTTAGTAGAGACGGGGTTTCACCATGTTGGCCAGGCTGGTCTCAAACTCCTGACCTCAGATGATCCACCAACCTCAGGCTCCCAAAGTGCTGGGATTACAGGCGTGAGCCACTGCGCCCAGTCCAGCCTAATTTATTTAATTTTAATTTTATTCTGAGCTTTAGATATTCTTGGGATTTCCAGGTGGAGATGCCTTTAAAAAGCAGGTAGAAGAAAACCCAGTAAAGGGAAATCAAGAAAGAAAAAGAAAGTAGGAATAGCAAACTGAAAGAAAAACTTGGAGGTGGTGTTCCTTGAGGGTCTAAGAACACAAGTAAAAAACTGTTAGTACTAAAAAGAGAATTTAGTAAGGTGACAGAATACAAGATACAGATTTTCAGATACAGATTTTTATAAGAAACAGATTTTCTGTCTGTTTTGTTCACCGCTTTGTTGAGAACAGTGCCTGGCATATAGAGCAAGGTCTCAATAAACATTTATTGAATGAGTGAATGAAGTTGGGGAGAGGGAAGAAGGGATGGAAGGAGGAAGAGAAGGAGGGAGAAAGGCAGGAAGGCAGGTAGGAAGGCTGATTTTTCAGAAGTTTTAACAATAGAATCAAGTCCATGGGGAGAAAAATCAAATGAGCAATCTGGATTCACAGAAACCTCAAAATAAAGATTAAATAAATATAACCTCATGATTTCTTACATTATAAATGCACCCAAGAAAAAGCTGCAAAGCCCATGACCAAGTTCCCATGACATTAACTAGTGTGTCCTCAGTATTTAATCAGGCGGTTCTCCGGAAGCTTGTTTTTGCATAGCACCTCTTCTAGCACCCTGGGCATGAGGCAGGGGTGAAGCCTTGACAGTGAAGGAGGCTTTTGCCAGGTCCCTGCATGTGTGGCACCATGCCCAGAGCCATTTTCACACACTGCAGAGAGGGAAAGAGCCCAAGAAATCATTTCACCAACAGCCTTGCCTCCAGGAAGCAATGCATTTGAACCACTCCAAACCATAGACAGAGTCTATTTTCATGAGTTCTCACTTGTACAAAAATTTGTTTCTAAATGTGAAAATTTATTATCAAAAACACAGCAAAGGAAAAAGTTAAAAATAAATAAACAAATGTAAGACTTTAGATAAGTCAGCCAATCCCCTTGCACATTAGTTTCCTCATCTTTGAAATGAACATAAAAACAGTATCTACCTTATGTGACTGCTATGAAGACTGAGAAATACATATAAAGTACACGGCACAGTACCTGGTATACAGTAAGTGCTTGACAGAGCCATTATTATCACAGAAGGTAAGCTTATTTTGCAAACAAAAGAGTAAGGTTTTCCTTGAGGTCTAAGCAGTTCATCTTTGAGCACAGGTCTGGACTCTCTAAGTCTCACTAGGTTCTTAGTTTGAGGCCAATAAATGATCTGTTATTTCCAAAACTTCTTGATGTTGCTGGATCTACTTCATCCTTCCTTTGAAGGTCACTGGATGCATCAAGTTCCAAATGTGTGCCTTTTCACTGTATGTGAGAACTATCCCAGGCTTCCTCAGTAAAAATGAATGTGTTATTTTTAAATTGGCCAGAAAATGACCAAAGTAAACAAAATAATTGGCCGAACATGCTGGTGCTTGGCTTGACTGAGGGCAGAGATGGCAGGCAGTAAGTGTGGTATCGTGGACAGAATGCTAGAGGGGGTTAAGAAACTAGGGTTCAAGTGTGATTTTGTCACTTTTAGCTGGGTAAGCAAGCTCTTTAACCTCTCCTGGCCTCAGTTACCTCTTTTATAAAATGGGGTATGTACCAGATTAAATCTAAAATTCTTTTTCAGCTTTAAGACTCAATGATTCCATGGAAATGGTAAAAACCAAGGGGATGGTTGGCAGGAGTAAAGGGACTATAAAGATATGAGTCCAGGAGGGGAGAAAAAAACTAAGAATGTGAATGTAAAGAGAAAACTCTGGGTAAGAGGAAGGATTAAGTTAGTCAAATATTATCCATAAGGGTGCAGACTAGGAGGATGAGCTGGACTGAATGTCTAAGACAAGACCAGGTCAGGAAAATTCTAAAGGGTCCATAGCTTGAAAGACCACTTATCTTTGGAACAGCCAGAAAGAATACTGTCTCTTCAGGGACTAGGGAGTTAAGAGAAAGTAACTGATGATCTGAGAGAGAGAGAGAGTGTAGAACTCCAACATCAGACTTAAAGCTAGACTCTTCAGGTCTACTGCATGGCTACAGACTACTCACATCAGAGGTGAACGGCTCAGACTCTGAAGACTGGCTGCCTGGGTTCAAATCATGGCTCCATGACTAGACTTGGGACCTTGAGCAAGTGACCTCACCGTACTGTGCCTCAGTGTCCTCATCTGTAAAATGGGCATAAAACCTGAAGCTACCCTATAGGGATGTTGTCAAGATTAAATAAGCTGATATATGGAAAGTCCCCTGAACAGGGTCTGGCATCTGGTAAGTAATAAACAAGTATCAGTTTATTCACTTATTTTTTGCTGCAGAGTGGGATGCTTCCATGACTCGCTACGAAGTCACTTCATTCTTCTTATTGAGAGCATTTAGGAGCAGGATTTCCTATCTAAGACTGAAATCTAGAAAAAGAACCCCACTTCTGTCACCTTTTTGTTCCCTGGGTGGGGTCGGGGGAAACTTCTAGTCACTGGTGGTGGTGCCTCTTATATATCACCAAGGCTGCAGCTGCCCTCCATCATTCCTGAGGTGCCACTGCAAGGAGCACCAGATGACCCTGGGAGGGTGAGACAGGCCAGCACTTCAGGAAACCATATGGGGTTTCCTTTGGGGAATCTGCCACACCATTCTCCCCTTGCATTTACTTTAAAAGTACACCTAAGTAATCCTAACTTGAAGGTAGTTGTTTTCTGACACCAGGACATTAAAAATGATCTATTTTTACTTTTCCTGCCCTCTTACAGGCCCAGATTAAGTTGCACTTAATTCTCCCTCATGTGTTTCTGTTGACCCTTCATATAATTATGCATTTTTAACTTTTCTTCCAAATGCTATGCAAAATGCTGTTAGTTTCACATGTCTACAACTTCCCAGAATTATCATACATAGGAAAATATGGTGCTTCCACGTCTACATTTACAAGTAAAAACAGCACTTTAATAGAATCAACAACATTAAAGAGCTAAAGCCACACCCTTCCAATGCTCACTCGCTCTCTCTGCAACTGAGCTCCAAGGACTTGTTTTATTTCCATCTGCAAGGCAAAATATTGATTTGAAGTGGTCCAAATCATCCAGCTTGTTGACAAGACACTAATGTTTCTGGAATGTTTAAACTATGATTTAGAGAAGGAGCAAGCAGTGTTCATTGACGATGCCCCATTTCTCAATTCAACCGTGTATGGAGATGTACTTCACAGGACCAGGGAAGAAGATAATGCCATCAACCAGATCGGGAAAACTCATCAGTAGTTGCTGTTAGGGAGGTTGTCGGGGGAAGACAGTCAGGAAAGGAGACTGGTATGTCTGAGGAAGAGGCACAGACTGGCCCAACTGACAAGTTTCTCTCGCTGTTTCCTCCAAATGCTCTGAACCGTTCTGATAGGAGTTTGAGACTGCATTTTTTTTTTTTCAGCTCTGTTGATGACATTTCAAAAACAACCTTCCCAATAAATTCAAGGAAGTTATATCTGGAATTTTCAAATGAAATATCTGAGCTGTTGATTTTTAAAAAAACAAAAACTCATGAGGTGGAGTTCTTGTCTTACAATGTTCCCTTCCTCTGAGTTTGATACAATTTTGGAAACCTTTCCAGGACTTCCTCAAGTGTACAAAAATAGCTTTCAATGGAGACCCAATCCAAGGGATGATTTTTATGACTGATTAGGTCTTAAAGAATGACATTATGATTATAAAGCTTAAATACATTTTTTCTGAAAGCATTTTTCCTAAAAGTTATGACACATTCTAAAAGTTTCAGAACATGGTTACACAATAAATTCTATAATCCATTTGTGATATTAACATATATATTATTCTACATTGCCAAATAAGATAAACATCACCAAAAAAATCCCAAAATAGGCCGGGCGCGGTGGCTCATGCCTATAATCCCAGCACTTTGGTAGGCCAAGACAGGCAGATCACGAGGTCAGGAGATCAAGACCATCCTGGCTAACACGGTGAAACACTGTCTCTATTAAAAATACAAAAAAATTAGCCGGGCGTGGTGGTGGGCGCCTGTAGTGCCAGCTATTTGGGAGGCTGAGGCAGGAGAATGGCGTGAATCCGGGAGGCGGAGCTTGCAGTGAGCTGAGATCACACCACTACACTCTAGCCTGGGTGACAGAGCGAGACTCGGTCAAAAAAAAAAAAAAAAAACCAAAATAATATCCCCCTTTCTCAAAAAGTAAATTTCTTTTCACACACACACACACACACACACATACACAATTGGAGGCAGGGTCTCGCTATGTTGCCCAGGTTGGTCTTAAACTCCTGGACTCACTCAATCCTTTTGCCTTAGCTTCCCAAATTGCTAGGATCATAGTTGTAAACCACCGCATCCAGCCCGAAAAAGTAAATTTCGACTCGTATTACATGTCACACTATTCTCAAAAGGAAACCCCTCAAATAGTCTGTCAAACTATGAATTCTTACGCCACTGATGCACTGTTACTAAATTTATGTGTTTTTAAAATTCGATTTACTGGCAAAATTGATACACTTCTGAGCACTAAATTAAATGAGCTGTGACAGACAGAAGGACTAAACTGAAAGAGTGGGATATACTTAGGCAAAAACCTAGCCCAATAGGCCAAGGACTGTTAGAGGACCTTTAGAAGCAAGCTGAACTCAGTTGCTTTCAATAAACCAATACCTATGTACTAAATATGCATTATGGACAGGAATCACAGGAGAGAAAAGGATGAGATACAATCAAATCCTTTTTATGGGCAACACATTCGTCCCCATCATGTGTGTTCTGGCATTTGGGGGTGTGAATCTGGCTCTACCAGATGTTCCTCTAGCAAGTTTCTTAATGTCTCTGAGTCTTGGTTTCTTAATCTGTAAAATGGGGATAATAAACCCCATCTCACAGAGTTTTAGTGGGGACTGAATTAAAGGAGACAATATAGGAAGGGTGCCTCTCATTAGGTATCAATAAATGTTACTTCCTTTCCTATCATATACTGTCAAGAAAACTGTATCTAATAAGTAGTAAATGTTGCATTTTACCTGGAAAGGGTCTGTCTTCATCACCCCCATGCAGAGGAACTCCCTTGTTTTCTGACATGTACTTCTTTGTAATGGGCAAGGACATCAGTCTAATGTGATGGATGAGTGAGCGCCAGGTGTGAGCTCCAGAAAGCACTGGCTCAGGTGCTAATGGGCTGAAAGGTTGAATCACAAAGTAGGCAGTGAGCAAGATTAATCCCAAGGTTGCGAGAACCTACAAGGAAAGATAGAAAAGGCATTAATAATCATCCCAGCAAACAAATACCTTAATACCAAGAAAAACAAAACAAAACAAAATAGGCCTCTTCTGCTATTTCCAATGTGCCTTAAGAACCAACCCATTTTCATAAACAAATCACTTATGTTTACTTCTGGAAGAATTTAGAATTTGAGAACTATGGGGACTGCAAGGCTCACCAAGCTGCTACCATATAATCAGTGTATTTTTAAATCCACCATTTAAAAATACACAAAGGGGGCTGGGCGCAGTGGCTCACACCAGTAATCCCAGCACTTTGGGAGGCTGAGGCAGGTCTGAGCAAGGTGGATCACGACGGGTCAGGAAGATTTCAAGAACCATCCCTGGCTACACACAGTTGAAACCCCGTCTCTCTAAAATACAAAAAATTACCAAGGTGTGGCGTGCCGTAGTCCCACCCTACCTGGAGGCTGAGGCAGGAGAATCACTTGAACCGCTGGGAGGCGAAAGCTGGCAGTGAGCCAAGATCGCACCAACTGCACTCCACGCCGGGGACAGAGCAAGACTCCCATCTAAAAACAACAACCAACAACAACAACAACAAAAAAGCACAAGGGCTGGCGCGCAAGTGGCCACCCACCTGTAATCCGCCAGTACTTTGCGACGCCCAAGGGCGGCGTGACCACCTGAAGTCACGGAAGTTGAAGACCAGCTTGCCCAACATATGACAACCACCACCTCCTAAAACCTAAAAATACAAATATTAGGCCCGGGCACCAGTGGCTTCATTGCCTGAAATCCTAGCAACTTCGGCGGGAGGCTGAGGGGGTGGATCACCTGAGGTCAGAGCGAGGACCAGCCTGACGCAAACAATTAAGGAAAACTCCACCTACTACAAAAATAAACAAAACAAGCCAGCATGGTGCGCAATGCCGTGTTAACACCGCTACTCGGGAGGCTGAGGCAGCGCCAATTGCTGAAACTGGGAAGGCAGAGGTTGCAGTGGCCAAGATCTATGCCATTGCATCTAAAGCCTGGGCAACAAGAGTGAAACTCTATCTCAAAAACAATAAATACACGTACATAAAGGCTGGTGCAGTGCTCACAAAAAACCTGTTACCTAGCACTTGGGAGACGAGCGGGCGGATCACTTGAGTCGCAGGAGTTTTGAGACCAGTCGGAAAACAGGAACACCCCACCTCCTACAAAAAAATAAAAAAATTAGGCCAGGTGTGGCGCAATGCCTGTTGACCCAGTACTTGAAGGCTGAGATGGGAGATCACCTGAGTCTGGGAGTTTGAGCTTGCAAGTGAGCCCATGAGGCCACCCAAATGCAGCTCCAGCCGGCAACAGAAGTGTGACTTGACTAAAAAAATAAAATTTGGCCAGGCCGCAATGCTCCAGGCCCTGAATCTGCACCTTTGGGAACTGAAGCAGGTCAGATCACCTTGAAGATCGGGAGTTCCAGGACGCCAGCCTGAACACACCAATGAGAAACCCTGTCGCCTAACAAAATTTTGAAACCTAAGAGCGAAGGTTGCAGTGAGCTGAGTCATGCCACTGCCAACTTCAGCTGGCAACAGAGGCGAGATCGTCTAAAAGAAAAAAAAAAAAACACCAACGAGACAGTGTGTGGTTCATGCCTTAAATCCAGGCAACCTTGGGAGGCGAAGCCAGTGATCCCTGAGGTTCGGGAGTTCAAGACCAGACGACCAACCCATGAAGAAACGCCTGTTCTCTACTAAAAATACAAAATACCCAGTGTGGGGTGGCATGCCGTAAATCCAGCACTAGGGAGGCTGAGGCAGGAGAAACAAG